CTAAACATTAAAAAAATAAATGTAACCTGACAACTCTACATTCTGTGGGTTTTTTAAAATTTCAGTAACTTACTCATATTTAAATTGCAAAATCTCTCTCTTTTGCAGCGTATGGCCATTGATACCTCTGCTTAGCTTTTTACTATAATTCTTATGTCTTTAGTTTTGCTTCCAAGGAATTGCCCGTACATTGTCAAATTCCCTTTGTTGGTCCACAAATGAATTTGGCAAAAATCGTGCTCAAATACCTCAAGCCCAATAGGCTTCCACCCTCTACACGTGGACATCTGTATGGGAGGGAGTTAGAGACTGCATTCAAAGTCAGGACAGTAATACCTCCCTTGACTTTCACTTTTCACTGAGCTCTCACAGATCCCCTTACTCATGTATCTTTTTCCCAGTCAGCCTGGGATGTGTAAAGAATTTATGTCAGCTCTTTTAAGACTCTCTGATTTCTAGAATCTCTGTTCACTGTCTGGTCTGCCACTCACCCGACTGGGACTGCACACCCAGGCTGACCAAGCCTCGTTTTTTTTCTGTTTCCTGCCAAGTTTACCCCTGCTAGCTGACAAAGGGAAGGAGTTTCCTGCTCACACCTAACTTAAGTCTGCCCCTTTTGGAAGTAAAGCTGCTGGATTTTGTAGCCAGCTCCAAGATGGTGAAATGGCCTTTCTCTCCGACCTAGGTGAGAAAGGTGATGGAAGGATCCCAAAGCAAGCAGGCTGGAGACTCCTGCTGTTCTTACGGAAGCTCTGGTGACTTGTCAAGAAGAAATGTTTCTCAATTAAATGTTTGTCTTTGGTCAACTTCCAGGGCCCTGAAAATGGCGATTTTTAACACATTTGCTCAGTTTTATATGTACCTGTTTTTCACTGACCTCTTCATGCTTCTGAAACAAGGAGTCCCTCAATACCCACCCAACCCTGTTTTTGATACTTATATTGTATCTTCATTTAAAAATATATATTCATTACTACTCACTTGTAACAATTATTTATTCTTCGTGCTAAAGGTAAATACATACTCAACACTTACCCTCAGCCTTTATGTAAACGTCTCTTCAGTTTGAACGGGCTTCCCTGCTGGCTCAGAGGGTAAAGCTTCTGCCCGCAATGCGGGAGACCTGGGTTCGATCCCTGGGTTGGGAAGATCCCGTGGAGAAGGAAATGGCGACCCACTCCAGTACTCTTGCCTGGAGAATCCCACGGACGGAGGAGCCTGGCGGGCTACAGTCCACGGGGTCGCAAAGAGTCGGACACGACTGAGCGACTTCACTTCACTTCACTTCTTCAGCTTGAAGTATGCTCTGTGGGAGAATATTCAGGAAATGTTCATGGGGTGATGTTCCCTGAGCTCTTGCGTGACTTTTAATGAGTTTTCTTTTCATAATCTTCATGTTAAAGATTGAACATAATATCCTCAACTCATATTTTTTTCCCTTGAGTACATTAAATATGCTGTGTGTTATTGTTGCTTAGTCATGTCCAACTCTTTGCAACCCCATGGACTGCAGCCCGCCAGGCCCTCTGTCCGTGGACTTCTCCAGGCAAGAACACTGGAGTGGGTTGCCCTTCCCTTCTCCAGGGGGTCTTCCTGACCCAGGGATTGAACCTGGGTCTCCTGCACTGCAGGGAGATTCTTTACCATCTGAGCCACCAGGGAAGCCCATTAAATATGTCACTGTATTATTTTCTGGCATAAAGAATTGCTGTCCAAAAATTAGTAACAATTTGATTTTCTTTCCCCAGAACTGATTTTGTTTAACATTTTTATTAAAATATGCTTAATATCCATTCTGAGAGTATTTTCCTACTTTTGCAGTATAATCTTTTAATATACATTTTCTAGTCATTTTATTTTAAGAAATTGTACTAGAATTATAATTTCCAGTGTTTTTCTATTTCTAATTTCCTTGAGTATCTTTTATTAAACATATTCTCCATCTTCCTGCCCATCTCTTTCTTTGAATCTCTTTTACCTCTTTTTGCTTATAACATTATTTATTAACATTTCACTTAAAAATTTCCCTCATTCTATTTTTAAACTTTTGTATTAATACATTCTTGGTTTTTTTTGCTAGTTTGCTCTTAATTTCTGAAATGATTTTAAAAACATATTATTTCCAACACTTTCCTGAATTTTCTCACTTATCGTCTATAGAATTTCTTCTCTCCAAATGACTGATTTATCAGTCTTTCTAAAATTTATCATAGCTCATATCACTTTCTTTATTTCTTTTAGCTCATTTTGAATAATTGGACTATAGTTTTTATTTATTTTGAAGTCATATCTTTCTAATATGTTGTTATTATTGTAGGAATGTTACTTTGCTCTCTATTCTCTTTTTTTTCTTATGGTATCTTTATATGTGATTCCAACCCACTTTTTTTCTATTGCTCTAAATATGTTTGTTAAATAGATTTTGACTTTTATCATGGAAGAGTACACCAGTCTATCTTTTCTAGAGTCTTCAGTGTCTCTAGAGCTCTGTCTTCTATTATTTTCAAAATAAGTTATATGCCATTGTACTTTGTAAGATGCACTTCCTTTCCTCCTATCCCTCACTTTTATCTAAATTGCCTCTTTGCTTTCTCCTGTTGGGCCTGTCTGGTGTAATTTGGATTCTCCTCCCAGGGGTTTCGTCTCAGAGTGGGATTTCTCTGAAAAGTCCCCTCTTCTCTAGCACTGACAAGCCTTTTCATTTTTCCCTTGAAGGCTCTGGTAATTTGGTGCCTACAAACTTCTTTCTCTATTTCTGCTGCTATTCTCAGATTAGTCTGCCTTTCTTTCCAGTGATTGTCTGTTGACTTTTTTCTGGAAGGTAGGAGGGGTAAGTTCTTAGTTCTAAGGGCCACGGATTTTCCTGTTTCTTTTTGCACAATTGCTTACACCACAGTGGTTTGTTGATTTGTCCCCAACTATTAATGATGTTATATTGTTATTTAGTGTTTCCATAGATATTGCCTATAGTTTTACTACTCTAGTTACTCTGTTTCTATTAGGAATCTCAGGGATATTAGAGTTATGCCACTTGTATTGCCAACTTCTCAGAATCTGGACTAACTTTACAAAAATTTACTACTTATGTGCTTGGGTAATGCACATTAAAATAGAATTCACATATCAAGTAGATTTCATAAACTATACAAATATGTGCCTTGGTCAGTCTCTGTTTAAAATAAAGTGATGTAAGTAGAACAATTATAATCTCAAGAATAAAACTAAATAGTATTAATGGTGGTATGCAAATATGGTGAAAAAATTTGGTGGTGATATACATGTAACTCCATTTGGGAGTGCTGTTATAGTAAATGCTCTTAACCATAAAAGACAGGAATTTTTGTTATTGTTGTTTTGTTCTGGTTTTTAAATTCTGAGGTTGGAGTAATATATGGATGCAGCAAGGAAGGCCCTGATCCAGTCCTCCTGATCTTGAGGGAATAAGGATATAAGAAAATAAACAACCACTATCTGAGAATGATGCAGGGAAGATGGGCCCTAATGGGAAGGCCTGGCTTCAATTAAGAAAGCAGGAGGAGAGAGTTATCATTAAAGAGGACGCCTGATATTGACAAGAGCTTGAAATGCAGCAAAGCTTTAAAGGCAAAATGCAACATGTGAAATAGTCCCATGTTTTTTAAAAAATGTGCTGTTGATAATAAGGAGAATGTTCATACCTCATGACCTATTAATTATACTTCTGGGAATGTACCTTAAGTAGCTAAATGGTCAGAAGAAAGCTATTAGTTTAAGGATGAACCTTGCTATAAAGACTGTAATAGTTTAAATAAGTTAAAAACTGAAAAAGCATATGATTCAATACTTGAAAATTGCTAAACAAATTATGATGTATGTATGTGATGTAATAGAAATATCAACCACAGGTAACTTAAGAATCATGCAAAACCTTTTAAGTAAAGCCATAGGTAACATTTGCTGGTAAATAAAATTGCAAAGTATGAAAAAAAATACATGCATACAAACAAGATTTGTATAGATATAGGAAAAAAGAATAAGATTTTCAGGATATTAGGATGATAGAATTGTCATTTATAAATTATATTTTGATATTACAGTTTACTCACAAATGTATATATATATGTGTGTATATAACTTTCCCCAAAAGAGAGACTATAAAACTATTTATCTCATATCATTTTTAAAATGAAAATAATTCATTAAACATGCTTCCTTGGAGTTTCCTGATGTGTTTTTCTGTGTGATTTCTTCTTTGGAGAAATATCTGTAAGCCCTAAAAAGACAATCAGGTATAAAAGCAGTGAAAAGATCAGCATATGTCAGAGGTTTGGTAAAAGGGATGGGAAGGCAGAGCAGAAAGGATTTTTAGGTCAGTGGAACTATTCTATATGATATTACAAGAGTGGATATATATCAGACTTTGGTCAAGATGCATGGAATGTACACCACCAAAAGTGAGCCTTATGTAAATAAAACATGGCCTTTGGGTGACAATGTGTCTGATGTCGTTTCATTGATTGTAATGAAGGCATCACTGTGGTTAGGGACGTTAACAATGGGGGAGATTGTGCATGCATGAGGGCAGGGTGCACATGCAAACTCTGTACCTCCCACTCAGTTTTGCTATGCACCTAAAACTTCTCTTAAAAAATTGTCTATTAAAAATTTTAAAAGACAACTGAGGCCAGATTATAATGTTTTATATTCTGCCTGGCCCAGGAAATCTGATCTAAAGACTAATGCACCAACTTGAGGTTAAAGCAGAAGAATGCACTGACCTGTGAGCTGGATTCTGTTAGGGGATTTTCCGGTAGTTTTTCAGTGGCGGACAACCCTGTGCGTTTCAGTGACCCTGTTAAGCCATTTATACGACGAGGACTGTCGGTGGTGGGGTCCTCTTCCTAGGTGTCCCCTGAAGATAGCTGAATCTCTATACTAAAACTGTTCTCGTTTCTTGGATTAAAAATGCTTTACAGACCAATCATAGATCCACGTCTTTCCCTCCTTGTGTTTTGTTACAGTTGCACAAGAAGAATGGAGAAGCAACCATACAGTAGAAATCGAGATAAGCAGGACTCTGGAAATACCATGCTCTCAAAACACCTCCTTAGAAATGTCATCTGCGCTCACCTTTGCGTGGCTGGTGGTAAGTGCTGCCCTTTTCAGTGAATAATGGCCATGGTCTTTAAATATCAATGAAGTGAAGGTGAATAACAAGTGATAATAGGGAGGAAGCACCCTGGCTAAGAGACAAGCATTATCTGAGGTTGAGTTGATGTCTGCAGGAGGGAAGGGAGGACACTGGGGTTCCTTCCAACTCAGCAAGCCCCCGGGTCTTTGAATGCAGTGACTTAGAAAGTAGTTCCTAAAGGTTAGTTTATGTCTCAAGCTGTGTACTCAACAATGACAACAGAGAGAAGAAAGTGTGATGGCGCCCTGGAGAGGAGCCCCATCCAGCAGAAGCCTGCTCACACTTATTTGTGGACGCACACACGTGCAGGGCCATAGACTCCCGTTTTCCAGGAACCCTACTACCACATCCTGGAAAATGCACAACATTGCTTGGACTGGGAAACACAAACTCTTAACGCATATCAAATGCAAATAGAAAATGTCCACGAGAGAAGCAGTATGTCTACAGGAAACAGCCACTGCCCAGCTCCATCACCGCCACAGGTAATGACAGGCCCATGGTAGCTATGTTTTCTGACTTACAAGAATAAAACAAAACAGAAATATGGATTTTTATGTGAAATTTTCCAAGGCAAGTCAACCAAATGGCATCCAGCTATTAACCAATATATAGAGTGGACTTCTACTACTACTGTTAATCAGCTGATAACACAAGCCTTACACAGTTATAAAGATTACCATAAACACAATTTTGAGGATCATGAAATGGGTGGGGTTATTTAGATGATCCAGAATATGACTATATTAATTTTTCAGGTCTTCATCAAAATGAAAACACAAGATTTAAAAATTCTTATGTAACTAATAGATGTCCATGAGTATAGCAGCTGATACCATCTGCAAAATACTGTACTTGCATGCTTGATCATTTATGTTACAAGTTAGTAGATTTTTGTGGACTGTCTTTGAAACTGACCCTTCATGTAAAAAGATTTCTCTGAGAATGTGCCAAATCCAAAATAACTGACTTTCAAGGAGACTTTAAAATATAACCTACTAATAATTTTTTATTGTCTAGATATTTTTGGATAGTTAGTATGATCAAAAGACATTATAAAATGCCTTTCTCAAATTGTTCTAAAAGCTACAGTGTCTGTTTATCATGTCAAAAAATGTATGCTCCCCCTTTTTATGGTTTGGTTGCTAAAATGTAAGGCTTCCTGCCTGACATTATGCCCATAATTAATAAAAGTCAGTTTTTCTTAACTAATGTGATACAAGGTGGTTCTTAGAAAAAAAAAAATTAAAAATAGAGAGCTTCTCAAGAAGACAGAAACCTGCTGCACTAAACATTACTGTAATGGAAATACGGCGTCCATACCTAGCTTAGATTATTAATATTTCCACCAATGGACAAAAATTCTCCACCCTAATTATCACTAATTCACTATCAATAGGGGTAGTAATACTTAATAGTAATCAAAAAGACTAAGATTTAATAAAGCTTTACTTAGAGATTTTTGCAGGCTATTAAGTTGATCTGTAGTATCCTTGTCTTATCTGAAGAGAGTCTAATCTGTTTTTCCAAGAAACTGTTAAAGTTTTCAGTCAGCTTGTATCTTTCTGTGATGCTGAACTTCTCCAGGGCAAAAAGCTGCATCACTCATTTTAAAAATCCCTGGATCTAGTATATTGCCGTGACTATAGGCACTCAGTAAACAGCTAATGAATAATGAATGGATTTGCTTCATTTCCCTTTGTCCTCTCCCTTCACAGTCCTATTTGTTGGCTTCCTACTCAATGGGTGATCACTACACGTCATGCTGGCTCTGTGATCAGTTCATGAGATGCTCATTAAGTATCAGCGACCAGATAACTGATAAGACATCCTCTAACAGCTGTCCTCAAAGAAACTAAGAAGGCTCTGTAAACATTATCTTTGAATCCTGCCAAGACATTTGAGATAAATAAGGGATGGAGAGATTGCATCTAAGCTCATAGTGAGAGAGAGTCATGAACTTCTACCGAAACCTCATGCCCTGCTCTCACTTTAAAGAATGCATCATAATTGAGACAACTTGAGGAATCTTTTCGAAAGAAACTTCTTTTCAAAGGGAACATTGTGTTGGCAAATATGCTGATTAAATTCCAACTGTGCATTCCCCTTTTAAATGTCGAAATCTTTTTGCTCCTTTGATTTACATTCGTCCTCCACCCTGCCAGCGCTGTGGGATTCAGCAAGCCTGAGATGAAATCATCTAATCTCCCGTTATTAAGGAATAAACTACAGCTCTTTATGTCCTGACTTTATAAGTCTGCAGAAGATATAAATATCCCCTCGATCCATATTTTAGTACTTTAGCCCCTTGTTAAGCCAGCAGTAATAATCATAATGATAACCAATTGTTCTTACAGATCTGATATAATGTGACTTTTAGAAAAGGTTACAAAGAGATGATGAAGATGAGCTCAGGAGGGTAGAAACCCCGTGTATCAGTATATCGAACTCAGTAACTCTGGGGAGCTGCAGAATGTTCCCCACTTCAGAGCTGCGTTAAACCCTGGAAACAATTCGACAAACTAAAATTAGTTTAATCTAGGTCACAGGAAGACAAAAGCCACGTTCTGTATGTGGAATTTTCTAAAATCTAATTCAGTTAATGACCCTCACGGGAAAGGTAATTATTGGGATTTTCAATTATCATAAAAATATTATTGACTGTGTATCCCTGATCCCATGCTGAGACTGTGTTAAATGTGTCCATGGAGCAGATCCACTGCACTCTGGAATTTTACATTCCAGGATCACAACTACACTGAAGTAGAAAGGCATCTGGTGCAAACTGTGTATCTAACATTTCTATAGCACAAGAGGTAACTAAGTAAGCACAGAGGATGTCAGCTGAGGGTCGGTGTGCATGATGTGATGATGAAAAAGTCATAGAATGTGTTTATTTAGATGGAATGTACTTTGTAAAGGACAAATGATATTCTTCCCAGTTTATGTCCTGGGGCATGAGCCTGCAGTCATCAGGGAAATTCTGCAGGGTTATTCTGGGAGCTTCTCAATTCACTCTAATGTTCTGTATTCATTCCAAACTATCATCCTGATTTCCCACAGTATAAATTTCAGTTCAGTCTAACAAACACATGTGAATCTGTTTTAAGCGCTAGGTCCTACAGGGATAGAAACCTGTATTGGACATGTTTCTGACCATGAAATACAACTTTAATAAAAATGTAAAACAGCAACATGGAGGGAAAATAGTTTGATTCTGACTAAATGGACCTGGAAAAACCTCTTAGGTTATTTTTGAGCTGGATAATTAAAGCCAATGAACAGCAGACATGCATTTCACCAAGACCATGGGACCTGTGAGCACACGTTGGCAGCAGCCCCTTTGTCAGGGTGCGAGAGATGTTGAGGGGTGGTTGTTCCCAAACTTGGTGGATAAAGAGAAACCCATGACTTTTCTCTTTAAAATCAGGAAAAGAAAATGAGAAACATATCACACAGTTCAATACTGATGATAAAGGCATACAACTAGAATCTAGATGCTTGTTTCTTTAAATTTTTCTCTATAAATGTATCTTTTCTGTACTCTCTTCTTTACTATTTGTAATATTTTACATGTAAATGAAAATCAAAATGGGCTTCCAGGTGGCACTGTAGTGAAGAACCCGCCTGCCAATGCAGGAAACGTAAGAGATGTGGGTTCCATCCCTGGGTCAGGAAGATCCCCTGGAGGAGGTCATGGCAACCTTCAGTATTCTTGCCTGGAGAATCCCTTGGACAAAGGAGCCTGGCGGGCTACGGTCCATGAGGTACAAGAGCCGGAAATGACTGAGGCGACAGCACGCACACACAGGAAACAATATTGGTTTTCCAAGCCTGTGGGGAGCCTAGCTACTCAGAAAAGAAAGCTGTCACCTTCTATCTGATGGCAGCTGGCCCTATCTTCACCATAATCAAAAATGAAGTGTTAGCCAACCTACAAAATGTTGACAACCAATTGTGTTGATTGGAAAAAATATTGTTGTGGATTTCTATAAAATGGACATGGGGAGCTTTGCAAGCAGTCTGCTTTGATAGCACTGACTGGATGGGGAATAAATAGAGCAAAGTGAAGACAAGAAGCAGTTAGGAGATAAAGAAGTATCAGTCGATGCAGTTAACAGAATTTGTTGAATGGGCTCTATACACTCAGCACCTGCCTTGTGCTGCAACCACTCACTGCCTGCACTGCCATGGGGCTCAGGGCAGCCCAGAGATGAGGTGGCCTCACTAAATCAAATAATACCATGGTCTCTTTCCTGCACTGAAAATTCTGACTCCAGTACCAAAACAGGAACCCTTCTGCAAATTATCTTAGGATTGATCAGGTCATTAAGAGAATGCAGGAGTTTTCCATGATTCAATATGACCCCCGCCTCCAGCCCTCATCATGCTAATTATTTTCTCCAACTCCTGTTTATTATTTACTTAGGCATTTATTTTCCTTCTATGGGTCCCGATTTTCTGTTTGTTTTTCTTGTGAATTTGTTCTTCTCAACAGACTCTCAGCAGAAATGTCAAGGACTGGCTGTTGTACTGCTTTTTTGAGGCTATATGAAGCAAAGCGTGACTTTTAGAGGGAGATTGTTGTTTTCAAGTCCTGGCTCTGCATTTACTAGCAGTGTGACCTAGGAGCTAGGATTAGGGTGAAGTGAGTAGGGCTGTCACCTTGGCTGCAAAATTTAAGGAAGTTCCCAAAGAAATCAGTAATCATGATACTTTAAAGTATCAAAATTTAAGGCCATGAGAAGATACTCGAGGAGATAATAGCTGAAAACTTCCCTAAAATGGGGAAGGAAATAGCCACCCAAGTCCAAGAAACCCAAAGAGTCCCAAACAGGATAAACCCAAGGCGAAACACCCCAAGACACATATTAATCAAATTAACAAAGATCAAACACAAAGAACAAATATTAAAAGCAGCAAGGGAGAAACAACAAATAACACACAAAGGGATT